AAAAATTGGACTTGACTGTTGGTCGGACTGAAATTTTTTCGTTACTGATTCGGTTACGAATATGAGGTTTACAACGAAATATGATTTGGATTTCTCAAGTTTGGCGTTTTTTTGGAGTTATGCTGCCATTTTCATATTCCAATTTGTTTCGTGGATCCTATTTTTTTCATCAAGTCAATAGAAATAGTGGAATTTTACAATGTATAGTAATGTCGTTGTGTTCCTTATATAAAGTGCATATTTGAGTTTCTGACAATGTATCAGAAAGTATTCAAATTGTTGGCTTTATGAATCAGTTTGTCTTGTCAAAATTGGTTGGTATCTGTAAATTTTTTACTTGAAATTTCCTCGTTATCGGTGAATTCAACGACGACGTATTCGATTGATTTCATTCGGATTTCCCCCCCGAGTATAATTTCCCGGATTTATTTATTTTTCCTTTGCTACACCTGTTTGAACCGCGCCCACGTTTTTATTTTCCATCCTTTTCGTCCACCTGTTGCCCGATCGGTCATTGTTGGAATCCGCATCGGCATCCGGACTTGGTTCTGGCAACGGTGCGGAATCCGCGGAATTTTGTTAGACATTCGATTGATGACTTTGTTATGACCGTGGAATAGACGTAATTATTCTTTCACGCTTTTTACGACGAATGGTTATTTTAATTCTCAATCCCTCTCCGTTTCGATTTGCTTCATTCCTGTGAAGTACCGTATTGTTGTGTACAGTATTTTGATGGGTTATGGAAGTGTTGAAACGTTTGTGGCAGAAAATGCAGGGTAATTAATTTTTTTTCGCTGCTTTGACCCGTGAACAACGGAAATATTTCGGAGAGTTTTCACCGTTTACAATTAATTCTGAAATTTGTGTCGGGGGAAAATCATGATGTCATCTTGAAAAATCTCAAACGTTGTCTTCTCTGGAGGAGTGAGTGTGTGTGTGTGTGTTTTTTTTTTTCAATTTAAAAATTAAATTACACCGCTGCCATTTTTTTTGAGGAACAGCAGTGAAATATTGACTGGACAAAAGGTTTCATTTCTTACTTGATTGAATTACACGCTAATGAGGATCTATTCTTTTATTTTAGAAAACTCGAGACCGTTTCAATTTTTTGAACGTGCAGACCTTTACTATTCCGGTTGATTCTGAAATTTGTGTCGAGAGAAAATCATATCAAAATGTTGTCCTTTCTAGACGAGTGCGAGTTGTTCCTTTTTAACATTAAAATTAAAGTTGCACACTGTGCCGCAAATTTTTTGTTGAATAACTTTCCACAGCAAAAGATTGACAGAACAGAAGGTATCTTTCTTATTTGAATTATTCACACTCACAACAGTAGAACCGCGTGAATAATGATGATCAATTATCCGCTATTTTTGAAAACATGTGTTTATGTGCAGCCTTTCTTAGTTTTTATTATTGTGATTCCAAAAAACAAGGAACGCGTCGCTTGAAATCTGCGTCCTTGTCTCTCCCTGAAATATGCGAGAATTTGTGACGATTTCCAAACAGTCTAGGGCTTGTGGTTATATATTTTAAAATGCTGGAACATCAGTGTATTTTTGATCGCACTTATTATTTGTCAATTTGAAAAAGAACAATAAGGAAAACCTTGGAGCATCCTCGGAAAAATTACTCGGGTCTCTTGAGTCATTTTTTTTTTCGGTTGAATGAAGAATGAATGAACCATAATGAGATTTTTTGTGACAAGGCAAAAAAATATTCACCACTTCATCATCCCAGCTGCAAACACGTGTTGGAATGTTTCAAATCTGCCAAAAAAATTTCCTTTCCCTGTGTTTATGTCATACCTTTGGTCAAAATCAATTTGAATGTTCATAAATGTACAAAAACTTGAAATAACTCATTAATTTTTCGAGGATATTGAAAAAATAAGAATGCTACGTCTAACGCTCCTTTGATGACATGTTGGATTTCCAGATGAAGTGCATTGGTACTTCTGCCATTATTAAATTGTCAATGTGCACGATTGAATTGAGGAAATTTTGAACTTATTTTATGTCCGAATGCATTTGATTTCTGTTTATAATCGTTTGTTTTAATCTGGAAGTATTGAGTGATGCATGAGTTCAAGCTACTGAGATGATAAAGGTGCGTCTAATTATCGTCACTGCGAAAAGTTCTGGAGGTACTAAAGCCGGATATGCGTCGGATAATTGAGATACAGTGCTATTTTACAGCAATTTTTTTTCGGGGTCAATTGGCACGTAAAATGACACTGAACGAAGTTTATGTGTGTGTGTGTGATTTTTTTCCCCCGCGAGGGCGAATGACTGTTGTAAAGAGATGAACTGCTTGTTGATGAGCTTAGTGATCCGAAATCGGTGTGAAATTGTCTGTTGAATCGATGTCGATTGTCTGCCTTTTGCAAACACAGTTCACACAAAACTGCGCAGAACGGGAAATTCTGCGATAAGTTGACAGAAGTTGTGAGAACTCCTGACACATGGACGTTTCCTCCGGAGAATATCCGCGAAGTTTTTTTTTTTTTCTCTCTTCTGTTTTTTTCCCCTTATCACGGTTTCTGCGATGCGGGAAACGTAGTGAAGAGTTCTAGCCTCAGTTTTTGCGCCAAACTCGTGTTGAATCGATTAACGTGACGGGATTTTTTTGTGCGTGTTTGGTTAGTGATCCGATGATTTTGACGTAGTTTTGTAATTTATTTTTTTTATGTTTGGGTTTTCCAATCAGGGAAAAGTTTTCAATCGCCGCCCTGCAGTGTTTGATCTACTCGGGCACACATTTCCTTGTCGCTTTTGGCGCGTATCAGCTGAAGGAGAGCTTACATGTACAATTTCCACGGAATTCTTCGGGCTTTGTTTGATGAAAACGGAGAGTTTCGAAGAACGAATTGAAATTTTGCGCGTGATTGTTTGAGTCCGTGACAAAAAGAGAGTTTCTTTTAAACGTTGAAAAATACTGCAAACAAATATTGATATACGGTACAGTATGTGAAGATTTTGTCGCATGGAAAGATGGACTGATTTTGGGGTCTGATGAAAAATTGCGCTTTTCTTCCCTTTTGTTTATGATAACACGATTCTATAGTTTCCGGTGTAATGTATTTTGTGATTTATTCGCGAGAATAGGACATGGGAAAATTTTTCAAAAAATGTCCACGTCGTTGAAAACACTCGTGGGCTTGAGATTGAAAAAAAAAACAACAGGAAATGTTTTCAAGTCAATGCGAGAAATTCCATATTAAATAATGTACCGGTACTGCGTCATTTTCTCCAACAATTTTACCAGAGAAAAGTTTTTCTTTTGATCCGAATAAACCTGTGGCCATTTTTCCAATGACTAGGAAAGTTCTATGACAGGGAAAATTATTCATTTTTGGATTTCATATTGGATCATTGATTATTATTCTCGTTTGAAAAACACGATTGAATCGGGATTTTTTTTTGTCCAATTAGAAGATACAGAGGATTTTGCCTCCAAATCTCAGAGATGTTCAGCACTTCTGCTGGTATAAAATCAATATTTTTTCCAGCCTTGCACAAGATTGTGATCTTCCCAGTGTTTCAACCTGTCTCGACCATCTTCGGTCGTATTTTAATTCATTAATTGTTGTTGTTTTTAATTGAAAAATGTTCAAATTGACGTATTCTCGAAAGCAGGAGTGGTCTGCACGAGGCAGTCCTTTGACTTATCGTTTTTGCACCCAACAGCGTGGGATTGCGTGTACAATTTATGAGCCGGATGTAAAAATCTTGATGAATTATCGTGTTCTGTGTCCGTATCGCAGTTCATTTTCTTGGAAGTGTTGCTAATTGTTGGTGAAGACGTGGAACTGTGGCTGTTTTAACCGGATATAAGCTCTTGCGGAATGGTTAGTTAATGTCCTTGTGCTCTGTGTCTGTAATCTGTTGGGCTGTAAAATATTTATTTATAGATAATGCGAAATAGGGAATTTTTGATGGTTGCGTGAATCACCCAAAACTGCTGGAACTTTGGGAGTGACCGAATTTTTTGTTCAAATTCTTCCACGAAAGCCGCTGAAATTATGCGTAAATATACAGTATCTTACGTTTACCCAAAACGTGGGGAACAACCTTTTTTTGTCGGTTTTGAATTATCTTAGTGGCTTATTTTAATACGCGGCCTTGACTTGCGTGAATGCTTGAGTTGTTTCTAAGTTGGGTGATCCTGCAATTTGGATTTGGCCTTTGTTGGAAAAATCTACAAGTTTTAGCTGTAGTGATTTGTCTGTGATGTCCTTGAATTCCTGTAATTCAGGGAAATGAGAAAAAGGGGATACTTTTTGCTTTTTTTCTGTATTTAAAATGTGAAAATTTTAGAAAGCTTTGAAAAATAGTTGTTACTTCAATTTCATTTGAAATAATAAATATTAAATGCACTATTTTCTGCTAAAAAAAATTCACACATTTCATGGTCGAGTGCTGTCTTTTGGCAAGTGGCTAAATCCATTTAAATTTTAATCTTGAGGAAAAACGCGTTTCACGCGACGAAAATTCGGCATAACGAAGCTTTGAGTCGCATCAAAGCCGAAAGTTCTTGAAATTTTTATAATTTGAATTGAAACTTTTGAATGTTTCCATAAATGAGAAAAATGGTTTAATTTTGCATCTCTCTTTCCAATTGAGAAATTCAGAAAGTTATCAGGAAGAGCTGTCAAGAATAATTCAATTTATTTCTGAACAGGAATAAATTCGAAATTTTTTGCCGAAAATGCACAGTTTCTGTGGTCTTATTCCGAGTGGCGGAAACCAATTCAATGAATTACAATACAATGTAATATTGAGGATAACAATGTTTCATGTAACGAAACTCGTGTAGAAGCGAATCAATTTCTTTATAGTGCATCACATCTAAAAAATTCTTTATTGAAACGGCAGACTGACTGAAGTCCACGTTGAAAAAAAAAAATATATATATTTTTGTTCGACCCGAATTGTGAGACGAAGAGAAAGAAGAACAAATTGAGTAATTTTTGGGTTCGATTTGTTTCTGCGCAGGTTCCCCGTTTAGCTGCCGAGTGACGGACTCCAGTCTGGTCTTGGTGACCGGCGAGGGACTCAAGATGGCTTCAGTGGCTCGCATGGCCCAGTTCTCCATCGACCCCCGAGGCACGGACATCGCGGGTTGCGCCGTCGTCATCACGTCACCCACCAACTTGTCGCTGCCGGTGACGCTAGAACACATGCCCACTGGCCTATTGCGAGCCTCGTTCCAGCCGGACGAGGTTGGGCCGCATCAGGTGTCACTCACCATGGCTGGTGGCGAACATCTGGGTGCGAGTCCGTATACTTGCAACGTGTACGACGTTAATAAGGTGAGAGAGACACACAGAGAGAGAGAGGATGAGACAGGCATAGAAGTGACTAACTGACCTGACTTTTTCCGTTTGGGGGTGGGGAGAAGAGAAACGTGGAATTTTTCCAGTGTTGACTTTTGGTTTTTCTGTGTTAAATTGATTTGTGAAATGTTTCAAAGTGTTTGTGTCGTGTTCCATGTTTCCCTGGAAGTGAGTTTTTATGCCCCAAGCTCTGTACTTCGATGCGCTGTTGAGGATGTGAGCCGTACCCAGTTGAATAAATGCTGTACAGTAAAGTACTGTTATTCCGGTGCTTATACGATTAAGGCTTGTACATATGGACTCTCTTCACAACGTACTTTGAAGGACAAGGAAAAAATTCGTTCTAGTGAGAATTTCGAGTTTTTTTGTGGTTCCGGAGCCTCTACAAATTGAGGGTTATACAGTTCGGTTCTCTCTACAACGAAATGTAAAGGACAAGAAAAAAAATTCGTTGTAGAGGGAATTTCGATTTATCTGTGAAATAATTTCTTGTCCCGTAGTGTTCTTTACCCATGTTAAAGAGCTCTCTACAACGAAATCCAAGAGGCCAGGAAAAATTCGTTTTAGAGACAATTTTTTTGTAGAGATTCAGGAGATCAGAAAAAAATTCGTTGTCGAGAGAATTTCGTTTTAGAGAACCCTCATAACATGGGGGAAGAACTGTATGGCGGGAAAATCGTTTTACAGAGAAAATCGTTGGTCTCCCTCTACAACAATCGTTTCTATGTTTTATTTTTATCATTTGTGAAAACCGTGCATCCCCAAATAACGAAACTATTTTGTTCCTGGTTGAATTTTTTTTATGTGAAACGGGTTTTCCCTGCAATTACATTGTAATTTATTCAGTTCCAGCCAACTCTTGAAAAAACAAAAACTATTGAATTTGTGTATTTTTCAGCCGAAAATTGGTAATTCAATATTACGGTATGTAGCGTGCAATTGAAGTAATTCTGACAACTTTTGCTCATAATTTTATGAATTTCTTAATTATAAAAATAAGAAGGTGTAAAAAATATGCTTCACTTTTCTCTTCTTGATATCTGGAAAAAATTTTCAAAGTTTCAGGTCCAAACTTTTTGAAATATACGCATCTTTTATGTCTAAAAAAAATTGTCAAGTGTAATAATTTCGTAATGTGAGTCATATTTTTTCCTTCTCAAAGTTTTTGTTGTGTTGGTCTTTCGTTACGTGGGGACTCAATGTACTGTAAAGCTATGTACTGTACAGTGGTCTTTTGTTCTGGAGTGTGTATTTTTTTTTCCTTGGTGCAAGTTTTAATTTTTCACTTGTGAGTCGGCTGGAGGACGTTTGTCGTGTTCTGACCACGTGTCCCCGGAAGTAAGGTTTAGCACTTACAGTAACAGTACCTCAAGGCGCCGTTGTGGATGCGAGCCCTACCCAGATGGGGAAATGCTGTATCGTGGGTGCCCCTCTACAGTAGATCTTTAATATCTCATTTGTGAGCGCTGCGAAGTTTTGTGTGGAGTGGCTAGTCAGTTCCAGACGTTTATATATTTTTTTCCTGAAGTTTCATTTTTTCGTTTGTGAAATAAGTTGAACATTATTGAGGTGTTGGTTTTTTTTTCATTCGTGAGACGCCTTGAGGATGTTGGTCTTGTTCTAACTTCGGAAGTAAATTTTAGCACTGCAGGACTTCCAGGCGTGGATTTACCCCAAGTCTTACTGTGATGAGGAAATAATCTAGAAGTAGAAACTCGTTACACCGAATCTTTTTTGACGAATCAATGGTTATAACGAATTCGTTTTCTGGTCTGCTGTTCAATACTGTATTCACAATTTTATTCACGATATTCAGATTTCGTTTTAAAGAATTTTCCCTCATAACGAAGCTTTTTTGAGGTACTAGGAACATCGTTTAAATGAGATTCTACTGTAGAGAATCCCGTTTTAGAGAATAATCGTTTTCAACGCAGTCGATTTTTAGGTCCCTACCCAATAATTGCAATTTTAAATGAGTCACTTTACTGTATAACGAACTTTTCGTTATAACGAACCAATTTTCCTGGTCCCAATGGCTTTTTTGTTGCGATATTTTAGTGTGCTGTGTTTTTTTTGTCTCTGCAATAATCCCTTATATTCCAGATGCAAAATTTATTGTGAAGTTATGTGGAGTGGCTAATTGGTTGCAGACTATCTTGTGTCGCAGGTGTTTTTTTCATATGTTTAAAGTGTCAGCATTAATTCGTGAATCGCCTGGAGGAATTGGCCTTGCTCCTGCTGTTGCGTTTCCCCCGGAAATGAGTTTTTACTTACCCTAATAATACTTTCAGTCGCCGTTGTAAATGCATGTGAAGTGCTATGCAGAAGAGGAAATAATGTACTGTACTGCATTGTGGTGTCTGTGGATTTATGGACTTGATGCTGTCTAGTGGGAAATTCATTTGAGCAGTGTAAAGTTGTATAGAGTGGCTAATTGGTTCCAGGCACTCACCTGTCGCAGGTTATTATTTTTTTTTTGTTTCCTCCATCCCGTGTTTGAAATATTTTTTGAGGTGTCAGTCTTGATTTGTGGGTCGCCTGCTGGTGTGGGTATTTTCTCTCGGAAATGAGGTTTAGTTGCACAGAACCCAGACTGTATATTCTCAGGCGCTGTGGTGGAAGTGAAGTCCCAACTAGAGCGGGGAAAGTCCATTAAACGAGGCACAATGTTCAGTATTTTTTTTAGATGCCCTCATCTAGAAATCGTGAGGAGATACTGAATAATGTGCCTCGGTTTATGGACTTTTCAACGGTGTACTGTACCGTTGAAGAAGAATGTTGGGAGTCGATTGTCGGAAAAGTATCAATTTCGTAGTGTGAAGTTACATAGAGTGGCTTTTTTTTATTTTTTAGTCCCTCTTCATTTTTTTGGGGGTTTTTTTCCCTCGGTGCGTAAAATTGTTCAGGGTCAGTTTGAATTTGTGATTATTCAACTTCGCAGTGGAAAGTTACGAAAAGAGACTTTTTGGTTTGAGACCCCCTTCATTGTGTGTGTCGACATTTTTTTTTCCTGTGGTGTGTAAAATATTTCAGTGCCAGTTCGAATTAGTGGTCGTGGAGCAGTTTGTTTTTGTTCCACGGAAAGTGAACGTGGTACGATGCAGGTATTCATCACTTGGTTTGATGGTATTTGAAACTTCTCGGAGTTTCAAACGTGCCATAAAGAGTTTTGGCCGAATCCTGGCCGATTATGTGTTCAATTATTTGCTATGAAGATGTTTGCGGAATTTGGTTTTTTTACAATCGCCGTGAATTCGTGTTATTTTGTGATTCTACCTTGTATATACGAATTGTTCCGTGTTTCCCCAAAAAGTATGTGAGCTGTATCTCTTGATTGAGAGGCTTAGAATTATTTTTAGACCCTGCTGTGAGTAGCTCGTAGAAGCAATGAAAGAAAATTTTAGGCTTTCATGAAGATGTAATCTTCAGGAAAGTCATCTGATGACCGAATTTCCCGTTTGACCCACGTCGGGATTCAAAATTCTTCCTTTTTCTTATCCTCTTGTTTTAGAATTCGTTCTTTTTTACGCATTGTTTTAAATTTACTGAGAAATGTTTCCGGGACTGATTTGCAATTTCTTCACCCATTCTTGCTACCTTTCCACCCGAACCATTTTCGTTTCGGATTTTTGTTGCTGTAGCATGGAAATATTCTTACCCCGATAATTAGCCCTATTCCATTCTGGGAAGAAGCAGTACAAAACCTGCCTCATGTTTTTTGAGAAAGAGCGGTATTTTGGGATCTCCTTTTTGCATTCAAGTCCTACATTTGAAAAACATAATTCCCGGTGTTTCGAACAAGTTGGCTGAATTCCACATAATGATTTGAGATAGTTTTGCGAATGAGTTCATCGTCCCACTGCTGAATGTGCCATTAATTGATGCTCCAGTGAAGAACGTTTTTATTCTTTTTAGTGCAGTAATCATCTAGTGGCCGCTGGAGTGTAAAGTTATGCAGCTGTGAACCCAATGATGTATGTTATCTTCTGGTTATTTATTTTTTCCCGTCTGATCGGAGTCGCGATTGATCCGCGAAAAAGATTATTTTTTATGGTGGTGGATTTGATCCTTGAAAATATTCTCATTTTCATTGCTCTTATTTTCGGATAGTTGTGAACCTTTACTACCACGTGATTTCCATTGATGAATCACTAAACACGGGTGTCAATTTTCGAAACGTTTTACTTCAATGACCTCCTGTAGGAGATATTACGAAATGGCTGATTCTTAAAGAATTGGCCGATTGAAGAAGTTGACAGCCGAATATTTTTTCATTATCCCAGGATTGGGTTGATGGAAAAAATACCTTGAGAAAATGTGGAATGATGAAAATTATCCCGACACGAATCATCCCTTCGGAATGAGAAGATGATCTGCATTCAGTATTTGAATTTTTGGAATACGGTGTGAGAAAGTAAAATATTACATTCTGTGCGAAAATTTTACTCTTTAAAATTGTGAAAAGATCGGGAGAAATTGTTATCGATTTCATTTAGATTTTTGAAACGCTTGTCACATTTTTCCAATGATATAAATTAAGTACTGTAGTATGAAGTTGCTTTCCTCATCATGCTCGATTCCTACTCCAATAAAACCCACGTTTTACGCAGTGAGTTCCTGCGAAACTTTTTCATTGAAATACTATGTTTGACTTCATTTTTTTCGCAAATCTTTTTCCGTGTGTAAAGACAAAAGATAAATCAGGTAGAATAATTGTTGCCCTCCTTTCCGATTCCTACTCAAATAATCCCTCATTTTACTTGTACGGAGTGAGCTCTTGAGAAACTTGTTCATTGAAACACTGTTTTGGACTTTTCAGTTCAGAATATTTTTATTTCGCTTGCCAATCGCATGTTTTCGTTTTCCGCCTCCTTTCCGATTTATGCTCCGATAAACCCACCTTTTACGCACTGCGTTCTTACGATACTTGTTTATTGAAAGACTGTTTTTGACTGTGTTTTGCTCAAGTGTCGTTATTCTTCGTATATTTTTTGTGCAGGTCCGAGTAACGGGTTTGGAGAATTCCAAGGTGGGAAGGCCGGTCACTTTCACGGTGGACGCGTCGGAAGCGGGTGAAGGGACCCTGGAATTGGTCGTGACGACTGCCAAGACTTCAGTGAAGGCAGAAGTTGTGGCTCGATCCCGCGGCTTGTATGACGTTACTTTTATTCCTCAGGTGAGCAAAAAGGCGATTGGTGAAGAAGGAAAGAAAAAAATGAGAATACCTTATTGCATGTTTAATTTAATTTAATTGAGGAAAACTCCCGGATATTCTACGGTATCATTACGATTATCCGGGTTAATGATAGGGCGTCTTCGTCTGGAAAATTTAACTCCAGTGAAACTTACAATGATCTGGGATGAGAAATGTTGATTTTATTTGATGAAGTAGATAAATTTCAAGAATGGGGTGTTCTGAATTTGATTTTTGCAGCTTTCGGAAGTATACAGTATTCGAGAGTAGATGATTCACGTAAAATGATGAATGATAAATCAAATCAATGCTTGAAAATTGTACGATTTAATAATTTAATGGAGGAACTAGGAATCGTGCAAAATTCAATTCGAACAGAAGTACAGTAAATGAAGCGTCTTATACGAAAGGCTGTATTACATCTGTAGTAATGCAAATTTAATGCTGGTTAGACGATAATGAATTTTTTCTCGGTTTATGCGTACGTGTCGGAGAATTTCTCCGGGCGTCGCATTTTATTGTTTTGTCGCCAATGTTGTGCAAGAAAATTTAATTTTCTCCGTTTGCTGATTTAATTAACGACGTTGATTCGAGGGATGGGATCTCTCTGCATTTTTCTTTGTTGATTTTGATCTCAGTGTTCGATTCATTCGAAAGGGCATTGATCTGATACGATTCTACGATTTTATTTTTCTCGCAAGTAATGGCCCTTTCTCTCTCTCCCCCCAGGAACCGATCCCTCACTTCGTCAATATTACGTTCAACGAGGAGGAAGTTGCCGGGAACCCATTCAAATGCCAGGTGGGACATTTTTTTCCTGTTCTTCACCGAGTTTGACGTAGAAATTGTACCATTTCTGCGGCTTTTTTTAAGCCGTGTGGAAATTTAGAATTTTACTTTTAGTGAAAGAACTTTTTCTAATATAGAAGAAGCATACATTTCTAGTTTGGTGAACTTTGTGTGTGTGTTTTTATGCTTTCAATTGAAGAAAAAATTTCGGATTTGCCAATTACAGTATTTTGTAAATTTCACTGTTCATAAGCTTTTTTTTTAATTTTTTTGTAATTTGTAGTTTTCAGTTCACACACTGTATGGAGGAACCCGGAATGTGTTTTACTGATTTCTATGTATTGTACTGTAGATTAAATATTTTAGAACTTTACATTTTTAGTGGCTGTTTTCGATCGTTATGAATCAGTGACGTCCTGTGCATGGGAACGTTTAACAGTTGTGTTTTGGTAGCTGTGATGAATTACAATGGCATTTCCGCAAAAATTGGCAGACATAATTTTAAAGCTGAAAAGGCTTCATACTTCGTTATGAAATTTTAATTCTTTTTTTTTTTTTATTTCATAGATGTAGTTTATAGAACATTGTAGACTCGAAGGAGAAAGGTTTGCTTCGATTTTGTTGCTTAAAATCCTACTAATCTTTGATGTTGTGACAGGTGCGTGACTTGGACGCGAAAGAGATGAAGCACCTGAAGCGCACAGAGTCGAAAATGGTGTCCGTAGCAGGGGACGGTTTGCGTGAGGTCGTCGTTGGTGCACCGAGTCGATTCCAGATTGACACCAAGGGAATGGACGGGGATGTGGATGTGCGTGTAACGGGCCCTGACGAAGAATCCATTCCATGCCGGGTTCTGAGGGCGCAGAACGGATCCAGTGGGCTCTACAGGGCCGAGTATAGGCCGGAGGTTGCCGGACTCTACAAGATTCAGGTAATGATAAATAACGAATTAATTTTTTCTGGGTTTTGCATTATGTTTTTTTTATTTTTTGCTCATTTCGTCGTGTCTTTTAGCGACGACGGAGTAAGCTTGAAGAAAATTATTTTTGTTGATATTTGTTATTTATCTCCAGGATTTGAAAATATGCATGACTTGAAGGAAAAATCGCTGATATTCCTTGTGATGCATCAAATTTTCAATTTATTTTTTTTTAATACATGCCATTTTTGGTTCGAGTTCTTCAGTTTCTTGTGATGTAAAAAAATAGCGTTTTCGATTAAACCTGTTACTATTTCATCACAGCGGAAATTTGCTTTTACACCTTAAAATGCGAATTAGCAGCTGAAAAAAGGCTTTTGGCGAAAAAACTTTAATGATATGTCATCAACAGACGAAACTAACGTTGATTGAAAATGTCTTGTAAGAAATGTGCATGATATTCGAATGAATAATATTGAAAAGATTTAACTGTTTCTCTATACAACGTAGATCATCTTCGGAGTATGTGTTTGGTTGCGTTTGTGCGATTTTTATCGTCTTGTGCTTTGAGGAAAGTGTTGCTGAAGATTATCATCATTTCTCGATGGATCTTTTTTTTCGCAGGTTTTCCACCGGAATCAGATCGTGTCGAAGCAGCCGTTCCTCGTGGAGGCGGCGGATCCGGCCCGAGTGAAACTCTTGCCGCCGCAAAGTGACGAAAACGAAGACAACGAGGACGATTCTCGCGGCAATGAAGACGACGACCCCGTGACGCACAAGCGTCACGGCCGCCGCCGGCCCACGGGCTCAGCCGCCACTGTCGGCCGAGACGTGTCGTTCCGCGTGGACGCGTCCAAGGCGGGTCGCGGAAGCCTCACAGTGTCCATTAAAGCCGCTGGTCAAGAGGTGAAGCATTCCTTGCGAGACCTCGGCTGGGGCTGTTACGACGTGGTTTTCACGCCGAGCGTCGCCGTGCCGCATCGAGTGACGGTCAAGTATAACGGAGTCGCCGTGCCGCCGATTGCCGGCGCCACGAGTTGCAGCATGGAGATTGACGTGAAGAACCCGTATGCTGGGAAGGTTGTGACGGCGTCGGGGCTTGGCTTGCATCAGAGCCGCGTCGGGAAGCCGACAACGTTCGTTATTGAGACCCTTCGCTCCAGCCTCGTGAAAAGCCTAAGGTAACTGCAAACCCAATGGCCCGGAAGCCCCAGACGACATGGACAGTTTCACTCTGTGATAAGAATAAAAAAGCCATACTTTCATTGCTCACGGTAAGTTGTTGATGACTTTCCCTTTCAGATGAATGCACGTACACATTCTCTTTATAACAATTTTCTCTATAGTTGAATCTTTTTGACGAAAAATCTGTTTATAACGAATTGTTTTTCTCCGCTAATTTTTTATCCAGGTCCCTGTCCAATAGCCATAATTGTATTTGAATCGCTATGACGTGCAAAGAATTTACCAATATAGCGAACCTTTTTTTAGGTCCCAACAGCTTTGTTGTAACGGGATTTTTCTGTGTGACGATTTTGTTGTTGTCCCATATTACAGAATTTATTTACAAAGGTATTTTTTTCTGGTACAGTATTTTGAATATTGTTTAAGAGAGAGTCAATCTGTATTAGTTTGCCGTGGATTTTTTTCTGTTCTGAAACAAACCACAACTTTATGCTCGTAATACTCTTTGTATCGGTTCCTAGCCAAAAATAATTTTACAGTTATGATTGTTAGTGTTTTATTCTTCTTTGATGAGATCTGAAAATTTTAAGAAAGTCAGTCTTGCCAAAATTTGGGTATGCTTGATCTTTTGATTCATGTACTGCAAGTGCCTGTAGTCTCTTTTAATTTGGTGCTGAGTGAATTAGTTTCCGTGCTGTATTAAATGAATCATCCCAAAGCAGTATGAAGTATTTGAAATGTCTAGTTCGACATTTGTAACTAGAGTATTTTCAGTGTTGTATCAACTGAATGATTACAGTGCTGTATATTTGAAATTTCTTTGAGTATCGTAACTCGGCGAATACGATACTGTTATCCCCCTAATTTCCCCTGACTGAGAAATTAAAGAGGACTGTGAGTTGAGTATATACACTTTTATTTATATACTGGCAGACAACATTCACAAAAGGACAAACACAAACACAGATAAAAACCTTTAAGTCCAGAGGACTGAGAATGCAAACTAAAGTTTACTGCAAACAAGTATCTAGGTTAGCTAATCCTCAACTTCCCTGGGTCAACTCTAGAATGATTCTAAAGAGCAGGAGGGAAATCCTGGCATTTATATACTAATTCAGAATAGAGNAGCGAGGTCGGAGCACTTTTCGGATTCCATTGACGTTTGGGTTACCGGGCCTTCGGGGTCTGCTGTACCTGTCAAAGTGAGACACTATTCTTATTTTTTCGGTATGAAAGTAACGAGTGCCATTCAATTTGATGACTTTCCCTTTCAGATGAATGCACGTACACATTCTCCATAACAATTTTTCTCTGTATAGTCGAATCTTCTGACGGAAAATCTGTTTATAACGAATTATTTTTCACCGCTAATTTTTTATTCAGGTCCCTGTCCAATAGCCATAATTGTATTTAAATCGCTATGAAGTGCGAAGAATTTATCAATAAAGCTAACCTTTTTTTTAGGTCCCAACAGCTTTGTTGTAACGAGATTTTTCTGTGTGACGATTTTTTTTGTCCCATATTGCAGAATTTCTTTACGATGGTCTTTTTTTTGTACCTTGAATATTTTTTAAGAAAGAATCAATCTGTGTAAATTTGCCGTGGTTTTTTTTCTGTTCTGAAACAAACCACAACTTCATGCTCGTAATACTCTTGGTATCGGTTCCTAGCGAAAAATAATTTTACAGTTATAATTGTTAGTGTTTTATTTGTCTTTGGTGAGATCTGGAAATTTAAAGAAAAGTCAGTCTTACCAAAATTTGGGTATGCTTGATCTTTTGATTCATGTACTGCAAGTGCCTGTAGTCTCTTTTAATTTGGTGCTGAGTGAATTAGTTTCCGTGCTGTATTAAATGAATCATCCCAAAGCAGTATGAAGTATTTGAAATGTCTAGTTCGACATTTGTAACTAGAGTATTTTCAGTGTTGTATCAACTGAATGATTACAGTGCTGTATATTTGAAATGTCTTTGAGTATCGTAACTCGGCGAATACGATACAGTATAGTACACTATTACTTTTGGGCTTCAGGAAGCACTGAAGAATTTAGTACATTTTTCCTAGTGGTTTGCTTGATGTTTTTTAATGAATGCGGGGTATTCAGTTTTGAGACCTATAATGTTGAAGCCATGGAAATCGTTTAACCTCGCGGGTGTTCATCAGTTGCTTGTTTACTACAGCCCCATAAGAACCGGTGACAAAGAGGAGAAGTATGGCCTACTAGCATCGTTTATGATTCAATTAAAGACTGCGATTCCGTCGTTTTGAGGTCCTGGAGAAAGCAGTGGATATGGAGATTAGATTTTCCTTTTATAGTTCATGTTCTATTTTTAGATTGAGTGCGTATTAATACGCATGATCGGGGGGAGAGAAGCCTTCACTGCTTTTTGAAGAATCCAAAGCTTCATTTCAAATGTATTAAATTTGTTCGAGACGAGTGATCGAGAAATGAAACCGTAAAATCTCGTTACAACAAACTTTTGGGGACCTCAGAAAAGTTTGTTATAACGAGTAATTTCTTTTGAGTTTTTCAAAATTAATGAGAGGAAAAAGTTTTCTCATCAGATCTGTCTATAATCGATTAGATCGTGCTTTTCTGGAATTTTCTCAGATTTCTCCATTAAAATTGTTTAAAGCTGAGTACTGTAATCTTCTGAAAAAAATGTAGCTTCAATCGTGCATTCCATCAGTTGCCCCAATATGTACGTTATCTTTCGTGTAGGAAGCTCTTTGGAATCACTTGGAAGAGTATTCATCGTTGATTTCAGCTTCCATCCATGCTACATGAACCAGTCAGTCACATTTGGAATCAGAAATTCCAGACTGTCAGGCGTAGTCAGGAAATTGCTACCTTGAGAATCTATTAAACCTTCCTCAGAAAAAGTTTGTTGTACTGGAATAGGGTAGTTTGCTATGACGAGATTTTTTTTAACGTGCATTCCATAGACTCTGCCGGAACTTGAGAAAAAGTTTGTTTTACTTGAAAAAGTGTTGTACAGTATTAGTATTTTTTTTAACGATATTTTACTGTGTATGCAATTTATTTTCCAGTGTTACCAACAAAAGGATGGAAACTTGTTGGCCGAGTTCAACGCCGTCACAGCCGGAGCCCACAAGATTGACGTGACGAATCACAACGTGCCGATACACGGCTCACCGTTTACTTGCCAGGTCTTCGACGCAGCCAAAGTGCGGATCGAAGAACTCACGTCCTCCTCGTCTCCAGTGGACGCCCAAAATAAGCCGAACAAGCCCACGACCCCCGGCGTCTTTTCCGTCAATGATCGGATCGCGTTTCGAATCGACCGTCGTCGCGCCGGCATCGCGGAACTCAATGTGACTGTGAGCTCCCCGGTTGGCAAACATTTGCCCGTGGAAGTGAAGCCGTTGCCGGATGGACGCGGGGAATTGATTGAGTTTGCGCCGCCGGCCGCCGGGAAATACAAGATCGCCGTCACGTATGGAGACGACGAAGTCCCGGGGTCGCCGGTCACGTTTAGTGTCGAGGACGGTGCTGGGTGGGCGAGGGCCTTTGGCGAAGGGTTGGCGCGGGGAAGAGTCGGCTCTGTGTGCGGGTGAGTGAGTCTGGGAACTTTGACGCGGAGATAATCGATCGACACGTTTTTAAATTTGTACGCTGAGCCTCATGAGAATCACTTTTTGTAAATGGAAAATCGAATTTTATCGACTCGGACAGAGTTACAAGGGATAATAACCGAGAAAAAAAAACCATCGAATGATACTTCTCCTTGAATGATTAAGGGTCAATTTAGACATGAGTAGAGCCAGAAATTGAAAACAGTTCCTTCTTCGTCCGTTATACAATATACAGGATAATCTCGTTACAAAAAAGCGTTTGGGACCTTCAGCAAAGCTTCGTTTGAACTAAAATTCGTTAAAATGATATTAAAATAACATTGTTTTGTTAATACACGAAATTTTGGTTATCTCAAGTAAAATCACGGCAGCAGAGGGGATCGTGAATACAAGTAGAGCAAAAAATTTCCTTTGATAAATTTGTGTTATGTTTTGTTTCTTTTTAGATTTAAAATCGATGCTCGTGGATTAATCGGAGAGCCCCATGTGGTCGTGGACGGGCCAGACAGCGTTGCCAAGTCCCGCGTGGACGCAGTCAAAGAGGATGCGGATCCGGATGGTGCTACCCACGTTGCCACTTACACCCCGCAGGAAGTTGGGGTCTTTGATGTAACGGTGCAGTGGAATGGCAAAGAACTGCCGGGTTCTCCGTTCCATCCGAAAATTGTGGACCCGAAGAAGGTTCGCGTGATTGGTGGGTGGGAATCGTTCTCCGAGTCCCAGCCGGGTACTGACGCCCCCAAGGTCGTCAAATTGGTGGTGAATGAGGAGATCAGAATCCCGTTCGACGTTTCTGATGCTGGACCAGGAAAGCTGAGGGCGGACATCAAATACAGGTTGAATGAATGTTTGATGGATTTCTCGCGTTCCCAATTGGGTCACGTAACTTTCGTCTGATTTAATTTCGTAAAGCGTCTTTGTTTCTTGTTTTTATTCAAAAATTTGAACCGTTATTTTCAGACATCCGAGGGATGATGCTTGACATATTCATGGTTCGGATTTATCTCGAAATAAGAATTTTTTATTCCTTGGACCTGAACAATTCAGTGCCTTGATTTCTTCATTTTCAACTACGTCTGCTCAAAAATGTATTTAGTAATTGATGCGATTTACTCCGGGTTGAAAAAGGTTAGTACTGTACAGTACCGTAAATAAAAACAAAATTTCGGAGTCACTTGAAATCTGTGACTTTCTGGAACGTTACTCTATCAACACAAATTTTGTATGGAAATAAAATATGAAAACCGTTGCGCCGTCCATGAAACCATAGAAGTTCGACACGTGGCGGAGGAGACAAAATTCATCAGTCTTTTCTGAAGTGGGACTTGTGTCTGTCATCACGGAAATGGTAGGGGAATTGTTGGCTCATGAAGTCAAAGGGATGACGGGGTTGGTGATTGTGACATCCTCGAGAAAACAATTCATGTCCCTTCGGGATAAGAGTGAATCGAGGGAAGGAATTTTTCCTGGGATTTGCGCAGAATAGATTTTCAATAACATCCCTCATTTCCTTTGCCAAACAAATATGTTATCAAACTTGAACTTCCTTCATGATGTCGTTTTGGCGCAAACTTTATGATTTTCTAACTCCACATTTTCGAGCATCGTGTTGATCAAACCGAATTTATAGCATTCTTCGAAGAGAAAATCGAGAACACCCGTTGCATTTTTTAATGAATAATACTGTGCTGAATGAAAGCATTTTCTCAGCGTACCTGTTTCTCAACTTGCGTTGTTTTCTCATTCTGGAGGCACTTGTACAAGGTTCCTCATGCAGCGAGCCTGATTTTTTCGAGTGCTTTCTGTACGAGACCCAATTTCATCAACGATTTATCGAAGAAGGAATAATCCGCTCTCGACCGGAAAATGACTGATCTTACTACTGTAATTTAATCACCCTTTTTGACCCATCTTCAGTCACATAAATTGAAAACGAAGAATTGTGCAAAAAAAAGGAACAAAGCTCGGAACAAAATTATGACTCTTTTTCGAAGGTTCTTACGAATCAGCAAAATCAAAAAGTGAAAATTTTCAGTTTAAAACCATTGATGCTTGATTTGTTTGAAGGATTATTGGAGGGAAAAGAGGGTTTGTTTTATGAGGCACCATTCTAATGACTTTTTTTCCATGCAGGAAAAAGTCGTCAGGTCAAAGGGAGCAGTTGATTCCCGTGGAAAACGTTCGCGTGGAACAGCAGTCGTCTCCGTCGCGCTATCGCCTCTGCTTCACTCCGACGCGGGAAGGCGAACACCTGCTCTACCTGTTCTGGGCCGATTTCCCCATCCCCAACAGTCCGGTGTTTGCGTATGCCGACGACCTGGGGAAAACGCCGCAGGTTGGCTCGAAAAAGGACGCCGCCGGCGCCGCCGCCTCCTCCGCCGTCGTGCTCCGTGGACATGGTTTGGCGAACGCGCGATGCGGAGAGCAGGCGGAATTTGTCATTGACGGCTCTTCCGTTGGCACCGGCACGCCCGAAGTTAGTTTGACTGGGATCAAGACGGATATCCGGGTGCAGTTGCAGCAGTTGGGGCCGGATGGCGGCGAAGAAGACGAGGCTAGGCGGAAGGGGCTGGTGTGGAGGGCGACTTACACGCCTTCTGTGTGCGGGGCGTATTTGCTGAATGTGACCTGGAGTGGAAGGCAGGTGAAAGGATGTCCGCTGAAGGTCAACGTTATGGCTATGACTGATGCTAACAAGGTGAGAAAGTCCGGCTTCTCTGACAAATAGCATGTTACTAGTCTGGTAAATATAATTGCTCTTGAAATTCTTAACCTACTGCTGTGTAATCCGAACTGAGAAGCAAATTCGATGGACGCGAATTTATGTTTGCTAGTGGTTGAAATGCCGAACATAGCTTCGAGTTTATGGAACATTTTTTGCGCTTGCCAAGTGAGATTTTCTTTACTTATTCACCGATTTGCCCCCACTTTCATTAAGGGAAGAGACCGTTTAAGGCCACGAATCACTTCTTGAAACGAATTGGAGTTTATTTCTTACGGTTGATATTTTGGCTGTGCTTCAACACAACTTGACAGTTACGATATTTTTGTATTGACGAAGGTCTTAATGTTTTAAATTACATGAGGGCATATTTTAAATGCATGAAAGAGATTGACGTTTTATTGAACAGAAGAAAATTGTTTGTTCCTCCTTTCAAAATTATATAGAATGAACTTATCCAAGATGTTCTCTGAAATACGTGGGTCCGCATTGGAAAATGGGTCTGTGCCATCTTCTACCTCGATTTTCTTGAACTTAGCCCAACGAATGCTTGAAGTCCACTTTTACCCCCGACACAGTTCTTTTTCTAAGTTTAATGTATTGCGTGGGTGGTTTTTTTTTTATACAGTAAAATCTCATCGCAACGAAGACATTGGGACCAGTAAAAAAGCTTCACTAGAATTAAAAAAAACTCAAGTTACATTATAGCTCTTGGACAGGAACCGAAAAAAACGAATTATTCGTTATGACGAGATTTGTTCTTACAAAATTCTAGTTCATGCAGTCATTTAATTTGAGTAATTAATTTTTTTATTCCCAGGTTCTCGTGACGGGAGAAGGAATCAAGGGCGGCGTCGTGGGACGCGACGTGCGCTCGTTGATCGATACCCGCCGAGCCGGACCCGGGGAACTCACTGCTCACTGCGCAGGTCCCAACAAAGTGGCCTACTGCGAACTTTACGATCACGGCGATGGCACGTTCCTGCTTAACGTAAAACCCCAGGAGGCTGGGAAACACAGTCTGACCATCAAGTATGGCGGAGAACACGTGCCCGGGTCGCCGTTTGTGCTCAAGATTTCCGGCGCTCCGGACCCGTCCAAAGTTCGCGTCTTTGGGCCAGGAGTTGAGCCCGGGGTGCTTGCGAATTTCCAGAGCCGATTTGTGTGTGACACGAGAGGCGCTGGTGCCGGGCAATTAACTGTCAGAATTCGAGGACCGAAAGGTTAGTTGGTCTGACCGACTCGCTGACACACGCTTTTTTTCAGAATTTTACCACTTTTAAATTTAAATATGTGTTGGTGCTCATTTGCCACCTTTTTTTCTCAAAATTTAGAAGAGAAGAATTAAAAAGGGGGGTGCGTATATTTTTAAAAGGTATTATAACTTTGGATGCTCATTATACAGTATTTGATCCGAATGGAAAATTTTTGACCGATTTTTCCAGAAAAACGTATTTTAAAAAATTGAAAATTTGTTGAATTGAGGAAGTTCATGTCTAAATTCAATTTTGTGTGTTCTTATTTTCGAAATATTCCCGTTTTGCGGCACTAAAAGGGCTGGGCGTCTTACTAGAGGATTGCATTTTTTTTAATTTGAATAAAATACCCCCACAATTAAACATGGCACTAATTCATTATTTTAAACTTGAGCTGAAGACGCCGTAATTCACCATTAATGCATATTTAACCTGAAGTGCTCCAGTTTTTCACTGAAGGATTTACTCTTCGTCTCTCAATTTGAATGAGCAGTTTCATTTTTTTGAACACGCATAAAAATTAGGTTCATTTCCGATCGCCAAAAAAAATCGCTGACGAGGCTAGCAGAAGTCGAACATAACTTGCGAAGCAACCCTCGTGGGTATTAATTGTATTTTTCTCTCTGAAAATCTCAAAAAAATCCTTTGGAAAGGCGATCGTATGTACGGCTGATTCTTCCTTCGGTGAATGATACATTGGTTTATTTTATTTATTCTTTGCAGCTGCATTCCGAGTAGAAATGCAACGCGACGGCCAAAAGGACAGGTGCATTTCCTGCCGTTACAGCCCGACGGAACCTGGAGACTATCGCGTGGAAGTGAAGTGGTCAGGCGATCACGTGCCAGGGTCACCCTTCATGGTGATGATTTTCGACACGGAAGAAGAGTTGCGACGGTTTATTCGACACGGGAGGGCAGATGACCCGGCCAGCCCGGCTTCGGCCATGATGGGAATGGGTAAAATGAGTCGGGCCCAGTCCCCAGGGGTCATGCTTCAGGCTGGCATGATGCCTCGTGGAGGTCCTGCATTTGCTGGTACGAACGTAGGAAAACGCTGCTCGATGATTCCGTCTTATTCATATTTTTTTTAAATGTATGGTTATCATACGTGATTTTCAACAGTTCCGGTTTTCCGTCTCACAGAAAAGTCGGCATTCCGAACGGAAACGTGTTGTTTTCCTCACCAAGCCTTTTCTTCGAAATATTTGAAAATGAGATAATATACCGTGATTAACCGAAATTTAATCAGCAGCACTAAATTATCGAGCCATTTTCCCACGAGATGGAATTTTTTTCCCGTTTATTTTTGACAAGATAAATTTGGGACCTTCATGCGAATTCCATCCGTTAAATTCAAGTGCACTCGAAGAAAAATTCTTGACCAGTTTATTTTCTTCATGCTATATCGAAGTATTTTCTCACGGGATAGGAATTTATTCCTGTTCCTTTTTGACAAGATACGTTTGGGACCTTCAAGCTAATCCATTTCCTTAAATATAAATGCAGTCGACGAAAAGGAAGTGCTCGACCAGTTTTTTTTGCCTCATTTTATCTTTTGATGGATTGCAAAAACCCGCTTGTCTTCAAGACATTTTCGCAAATCAGGATTAAATTGCTAAAACGTTGTCTTGCAAGGATTCCGGATGTACAGTTAGTCAATGTGTTCTGAACGTTCGCTCTGTACCATTTTTTATATTTCTTATGCTTGGCAGTGACTCATTTTTTTATACAACTTGATTAATTTTGTAATATTTCGTCCTTTTTTTATAGCGCCGGGATCAGAGTACTACGGGAGCGGCTACGCAACTTACGGGCCGGTGTCGCCGAGCTCTTGGCGTGGCTCCCAGCCGCACTTATGACTCGGGCAAAAGCATCGCGACGAACTACACCACCAGCTGCAGTATCACTTTAGGGGGCCGAAAGATGGGAAAGGGTTCGGGTTCCTGTCATCGTCGTCTTCAACCTTCTCGTCGCCGCACCGCCGCCTTCGCTCGGCCTCGCCGTCGCCGCCTGTTCATCACGTCTACTTGCCCAGCGAGGACGACGGCGAGCGCAGCGATCGTGGTCAAGGCTGTTGCGGGTAAAACGAAAATCATCTTTTTCTTGTTACTTCCTAGTTTCTTTTTCTTTGTTTCTCCCGAACCTCTTCGAGTCAAACTTGAAAGGAGCAGTAAAAAAAAGTTATTGGAACAGGCATTTTTGTTTTGAAGAAGAAATAAAATTGAAGGAAATTAAAATTGGTTATATTTTATGCCTTGATTTGCTTCCTGAATGAGTTGACAGGATGCTGAACTTGGAGGCAAGGATTCATTTGCCCAAATATTTTTTTCACTTCCTTTCAAAACGCGTAAAGTTACTTTTTTCTTGCTTTTCACTTTCCTGCGTCAATAAAGTGATAGCAAAAAGGCCTCCAGAAAATGCAAGCTGTAGAGGTTTCAGGAGGAAAGCCTTTAAGTGAAGGAGGTTTTTTAGTGTATTGTTTCTAAGGAATTCCAGGGAGGGACTTCAAGGAAAAAAAGCGACTTGCATAGCTTTGAGTTATTAAGGTTCAACTTTTATGTACAGTATATTAATGGTTATTTTCCATCTTTTCAGGTCTTGCGTTTGACGAGGAAGAAGAAAACGACGACGATCTGCGAACCATCGCAAACGAAAACTAAAACAAATTTTGCCGAATTTTGCCAAAACAAGCCGTATACGTATGCCTACGAATTTTAATTTCATCCGACGGATCTGAAAACTGAACTCTTTTGGTACATTTTGGGCTAACTTTTGGTGGTGTTGATCCCAGCAACGCGTTTATTGGGAAGTTTATTTTTAAACGCAACTGACGAGGGAGACGAAAAACGTGTTGCTGTAGTCGCGGTGCTTGCAAAAGGAAAAAAATGTGTGAGTGAAGACGAAGAAGATACGGTGGGAAGGTCAAAAAACGTGGAAGGATCCGTGGAATATCATGTCGGAACGTGTAAAGCCGGAATCGATTTTTTGGTTTGCGTGATGGAGAAAGAAAGTTTTCCGAAGCCCAAGTGTCATGAGTTTCGCGCATTCCGATTTGTAAAGTTTTTGTGGTTGTTGTTTATTGTGCTCGAAAACCGTTGTATCTCGAGAGAAACGTTAACATTCCGTTAGAATCTTTTTCACGAGTAACTTTCCAAAAAGAAAAAGCAAAATCTGATCTGTCGGAGTCCATATTATTTTTTCCGCATTGACATGCTATTCAGGCTGTTCTTCTGAATATGTTGACGTTATCCGTCCTCTGAAACGCTCCTTGCTGCGTAACCCGTGGTTGTGGCAACTCGATACCAAATTCGGAGATTTAGGATGTACCAATGATTTTACGTGCAGTACTCATCGAAGAGACCGGAAGAAAACGGAGGATATTTTTATGTGAATATTTTCGTTGGTCATCGATATTAACGCGTGGAAAGAAAAATATTTTGTAAATCATCGCGAAAAGTCGTTGGCGAAAGACGGGAAGGTTGTAAAACCTTATTGTGCAAACAAAAAAGGCAAATCCTTGGCGCTTCGCAGATTTTGTCGTGCGTCGTGTCTAGAAAGGAAAATAAGTAATCTTGAAGTTCCCCAGGATTTATTGGAAAAAATATAGGAAGGAATAATTTGAATCCGTGAAATTATTTTTCGTGCGAATGGCAATCGGTTTATTTTTTTGGTTTTGGGGAATTTTTGCCTGACGGTTTGTTTCCTGGTTGCAGATTTCGTGTGCTTTTTTTTTGCGAAGGATTTTTCCGAGTGTGATGTAGATTCAGCAAGTGGGCCTCTGCAACATTGCTGATTAACTCGATGCGGTCAGTGAAAAGTTCGCCCTGCGAAATTTTCCCTTTTCTTGCACTTTTCCTAATTTTCACTTCCTCTTAGCTCTCAAAAGGTCGTTTAAATGTGAGCGCTCAGGAGAAAGAACAATTGGCTCTTCCTCGATCTCAGCGAAGATTAGAAAAGAAAAATTTATCAATTTTCCCCGGGCGATGAACAACGAAAGAACGGCCATCTTTTCGAGACCCGTGGGGTCGTCAACCTCTTATCTTCGTTCCTACGGCTCAGCTGGATCAAATTCAAGAACCCAACTCTCAAATGCACCCAAGAAAAAGATGGTCAAGCATGAAATCAGTTCAACGGATACGCTGCAAGGGATTGCGTTGAAGTACGGTGTCACGGTGGGTATTGACAATTACGTCAACTCAAGGAGGTTTCTCCCAAGTCTCGCAAATCCCCTAAAAATTTTCATTGAATTTGGATGAAATCATAGCTATCTCCTCTTAAGAAAAACAGATTTTTGATGAGCGTGTGACCTCATCCCTCCCGATCGAACATCAGAACTTGCAAATTTATTTTTGCGCCCTCTTTTTTGCAGACTTCCCTGGGTGGTCTGCTGATCATTAATATGATTAATAATCTTATATGATTAGGTGTCAGAAATATTGTGCTTACCCCGCATTGTTCAGAGTAAGAGACCAGTAAAAGTGAAACGTCTTTTGAAAATCTATTCGCTTTGAATGCAGTTGTTAACCAGCGTCAAAACTCCTGGAGTAGTCGCAGGAAATGTTTAGGAAAAAATCTCCGTTCAAATTTGAGGATGGAAAGAAAAGCATCAAGTCTGTTTCTCTTCAGAGTATTTCATTTTGAAAGGTCTGTCGAATCATTGATTGTTTGTCTTCATCGTCTGTTCGTAGTCTGATGCATTTTTGTGTGTATTCTGATGAAACGCAGATTAAGCTCCAGGTTTCATCCGCTTTTAAGTGAAAATTTGTGGGTGACTCGTAGGATTTTCGAGAAACCGCCTTTTATTAGAAGCGAGAAAGATTAATTGCGAAAGCCGAAATGTTCGAAGCTTTTGATGCGCTGTGTCTAATGAATGCATTTTAAAAATTCGCCGAACTTCGAAGCTAAGACTTCTTTCCTTCCTGAGGAAGACTTGCTGAACACGTGTTCGTGAAATGAATTCTATCGAACCGACGTTTCTCTCATCAATATTCTGTTCTGTGGAAGGAACGAAGGCAATCGTCACTGTCTTTGGGATTTGCGATTTGTGCCAATCATCTGCACGCATTCCAACTAATTTGTCCATCTCCGAGCGGAACAGAAAACTGAAATCTTTGGAGCACGCTCATATTAAATGAACTCAATCACATGATGTAGGATTATCTGGAGACGAATCAGTTAATCATCTCCCGCCATTGTATTCATCTTTCGGCATTTGGGTGCCACATTGATCATCATCATCATCATGAAGATCACTGGATTTTGCGTGAATAGGACTCGTGAGATCTGTAATAAAATGAGAGTTTGGTTAATAAATCTGAGCATTTGTGTTTCATGATGTGATCCTGTAATTTTTTGCGCCGAGTATTTTGTTGTTTAACACTTTTGTGTGTTAAATTCTCGGACTCCGAAGTTTTTTGGTTTTTTTTTCGATTTCTGAGTCCGTCGCGGAATTTGATTTCAGAACACTTTCTTTCGTTTTATCCCGTCTTGCAATCTGAAGAAGCTTCAGATGAATGTTTTCGAGCTTAAGTGTTCCTCTAACCGAATCATCTCTCTCGTCTTTTTTTCTTCTTCAAGAATCGTTTTTGTTCGTGGAGGTTCGTGTTTCAAAGTTGAGGAAAAAATGAGCTTTTCAAAAAGATCGTATTCGAGCAACCTGTGATGCAAGATCAATTAAAAATAGAGCTTGGGTGTTATTTTCATTCCGGATTCGAACAAAGGGTTTTTGTTTTTCGTGAAAACTCCAAACTTCGACAGTCACGATTTAAAAAATATTTTTTTTTACAAGGGTCGTAAGATAAGTGTATTGGTTTTTTTTTTTTTTTTCTCTTGATTTTTGGGATGCGTCGTTCTTTTGCGCTGATGAAAATATTCGTTCGAATGGTAAAAGGCAAGATATTTGTTCATCACGAAGCAGATGCATTTCAAATGTTATCCGAATTTGTGTGTAATTCAAAATGAGAGTTTATTCATAGAAAACGAAAAGGCCCGTGTAATTTAAATTTCGTCGCTTTATTTCCGTATGGACAATCTTTTCATCCGGTCGATTACGCCAATTTATTGAGTCAATTTGAAATTGCATCCTCAATTATCCTGGTTATGGCTCTTGATTAGTCCGGATAAATGTGGAATTCTTTATGACCTTTGTTTCATTTATTCCGGCTTAACGGAGAATTTTCGTCCATTGGCTTTGCGTAAAAGAATTTGATTATGAAGAGTCTTCCAAAATAATCTTGGTGAATTACAGTGCTTGAGTGAATGAAGAATTTTCAGTAAATCTTTCGTTCCCCTTCCCAGATGGAAGAGTTGAAGCGAGCGAACAAGCTATGGACAAACGATAGCATTTGCATGCGAAAATTCCTCGACGTGCCTGTGGATGCAGACGCGGTCGTGAACGGGGAGGCGGACGGAGCAAAGGATTCGAACCAGGAACCCGGGTTCGAAGACGATTTCGTGCCCAGGCCAGTGATCAAAGACACAACGAACTGTGATGGTTTCCGGAGGAGTCAGAGCTTCGATTTGTCGGAAACGTGTCCCAAGTTGTTCCTCAGCCGCGCCGACGAGGCTGTGGAGCACGTCAAATTAAACGTGGACCTTTTGGCGAAGAAGAGCGAGTGAGTTTTCATTCCATCATCCGATTTGAAGTGGAAAACGAAGCAGTGGGGAAAAAAGCCCCTTTTTTGTTGTGGATTAATTCCGCGAAATTGTAGAGAACTACTGTACGCGTATTTTATGTTTGCATCACGGTTTACGAATATTTGTGAGGCTTTAAAATTCTAGAAACTCTGTACAGGAAAGATATACTGCATTTCTTCGGTTCTGGGATTGGGAAAAATTCTCATTTCTGCGTAGGAATTCATTCAGTATTTCTTCATTGGCAATTAAAAGAAGTCGGATGAATCGAGATAAATTCCGCATAATTTTGAAAGTTGCGAAGAAACTTGTATGTTCATGCTTGGCGCTTTTTTTGATTGTGTAAAACTTGAAAACTTGAGAATCTCCGTCTTGATAGCTTTTAATCGTCGTTGATGACTTTATTATATAGTTTTTGTTGTTGTTGCTTTCATATATAAAAGTATTTTTTAGTTGGAGTCATTCGTTTATTTCTTCGTCAGTTCATTGATGTACTGAGTTTTCAATATTTTTCGCGAAATATTCTGGAACAGAACATGAGAGAGATTTGCAGAGAAGAGTGAATATTATTCTTGACTTTTAAAGCATAATATTTAGCACGCTCCAGTGGCTAAAATAAAATTAGCATATTATTCGTCGCGAAACGTTAATTTAAATTCACTAATATGTTGAATGATGTGGCTGTCGAAATTCGTATTTTGTTCCTGAAAAATCGGGCAAGTGGGAGTATTCATAGAAAAACTTTTCCTAGCTTCTTTTTTCATTGATGATTTTATTTCTGTTAAGTGCAGCTCTTTTAGGTGACGTGTTTGTTCATTCATTTATTTACTTATTTTATTTCCGTATATCGGCGTGGTTCGTGAGAAGTGCAATAAAGATAGTTTGAAGGCCCAAGCATCTAGTTGTTGATTTTGGTACAGCTTTTCGTCTTTTTCGTTTTCTTCCCTCGCAATTTCTGGAAGTTAATTTCACGAGTATTTCATGTTCTAGCACGATTTAAGAAATGCTGCTGATTATTGGCGTTGGGTGTGGTTTTTTTTTTCCTATGTTGTTCCTCTTCGTTGTATGTTTTGGACTTCTATACTGGGTGTACAGAAAGATACTGTGCATTGAAGAACTCGGATGCATGTGATGGCTTTTCTCGCTTTTTTCCGGTATATTGAAGTATTTCCAAGTATTGGTAGATGTCACTGGAAGTTATTCATATTTTCAACTGAGAATAATGATCATCTGATTACTGATGAAGCGATCTAGTGTTGGTCGATATCGTGAAATTTTATCAAAATACTGTGATCTGTGGGTGATCGTTTTCTATATTGTTCGTTCTTCGAGACAAGAGTTGAAAACGCGGTCAGCATATTGACGACTGAATGGCTAATTTCAGGTGTAAAAAAAACTTACTCACCCAACTGTTCGAATATGAAATACGATGAAATTCTCTGCAGTAATAATTTCTACAGGAGATGTTTTGTGTACGAGGTAGCGAAATTTTCAGGTTATGGCAGATTCAACTGTAGATGCGCGGTGGAGAAAACTGGAAGGAATTCGGTACAATTTTCTTGAGATGCAGATGAGCTTGAAATTTATTCGTTGTTGGGCATTTATTCTGCTTGAATACTTTACGTTATGAATCAAGTCTTGAAGAAAATGGAATCCCACAATCTTGCAATATTTTTGTTTTTGGAACTTGTTCCACGATGTTCCTTGTTTCACTGTAGTAACAGTTGTTCAGCGAAATTTTTTCTTGAGTAATCAGTATTTTGTTTTGCCTTACAATATTGTTTATAGATTCTACTGATGTATTGTTCTGATTCTGACAAAATGAGATTTATGATGGAAGTTCGATTGATATTGATTGTGTCTTTATTTTGACGGCAAGGTTCGCGACTGTCGAAGAAGAAGAGGAAGACCCTTCGTATGGCTACGCCGGAGGCTTTTCCTACCAGCAATACTCTCGTCGGAAAGCCGTGCCCAAGAAGATGAAGAGCAAGCGAGAATCTTCCCATGACCAGTTTTTCCAATTGTGACGGTACTCCGGTGGTATTGCCAACCCTGCTTACGACCCGGAGGACAACTAAGGGTTTTTAAAAACGCAATCGTTTCAACCCTCAGCAAAGAAGAAAAAAAAATCAATTCTTTTTCATCCCTTGTGCGATTTTTCGATGTTTTATGTTGCGTTGCATTTTTTTTGGCGATATCACCACCACCAGTGGCGTACACTTCGTAGTCGGAATTTAGGTTTTAAGTCGAGTACTTTTTTCTATCATTTTGGCGCTCAAATCTTGTAGGCTTACTTAGTTTAGACTTCGGTGTTAGTAGAGATGATGTTATGCGACCTGCGGTGCAAGCGATTTGTCCCAACATTCAGGTTGAAGTTTAGTTTGAATAGAGTTTTATTTTTTGTCCCTGAAATTAGTTTGAAAATCGCAATCGTTGAAGTTTTTTAGCGACCAATTTTGATCGAATTTAAAGAAGCACTGGCTGTCTGATTCGTTTTCCTTGTCGTGATGAAATCAAATCGCTAGAAATATTTATATTGCCCAGTTGAGCGAGGGTATTTTCAGAAGTATCCGAACTTGCAAGCGTCGTCTGATTTCATTGATACCATTTTCCGAAGAATGTTTCCAATTATTTTTTTCTGAAGTGACATTTGCGAAGCGAACAAAACTTTATTTTGAAGTTCTCTCCTTCCCTTTTTCGAAGCAATCGTAGCTTTCTGAATCGTAGAAGAATGAACAATAGTTTCAAATGATATAATATTGTTTTGATGACCAAGCTTGGGTTGATTCAACTTCGGTTTTCCTCGTTCTCAGTAAAAAATGAAAGTTATCGGTGGGGTAAAAGATCATTCGTCAAAACAGTTCGAAATGCCCCGAATCTCAATCTTGAGATCTCAACGTTCATTTTGAAATTCAGCTACTCATTCTGACTGTTCTCGAATGCAAATAAAAGTCATTCGTTTGATGTTCAGCGTCTTTTGACAAAAATAGGAGGAAAAAAATATATTTTCGCTAGATTCCCGAATTTGAGAAGTATATTAAACTTGGCACAGCGGCTTGTATAAATTTCTGATGTCCTAGATATATATTAAAATTTTATGCATGCGCAGGTTGATTTCAGGGACGTCTTCCACGAGTCTGAGAATTTCTGAAAATGCCCTCGTACATATCAAAATGTCTGTATCTAGATTACCAGGATCACTTTCAATGAAGAAACGATCGCTTCAGAATTTTGAATCCCGTAGTTTTTGATACCCTCGAAAACTGGAACCGGATATCGGGATTTACTCCTAATATCCGTGTTCTTCTTCAACTTTTCGGCCGTTTGGCAATTTATTTTTTTAATCCCTGCATCCACTCTAATGCATTTCTCGTCTCGGCAAGGAAAAGGGTGAAGTATCGGGGGAGGCGTGAGTTTATTTTTTATTTCCGCCTTAGGCTTGGGCATCGTTTTGCGGTGTTTTCAGCAGGTGAATGGAGGGAATTCAGTTGGCTTTTCTTTGCCACGAAGAAGGCTAATCAAGACTGCGAGAAAAACGAGCGTACTTGGGTTACCACGTTTTCTGAGCGTCGTGAAGAATCGGGTCGGAATGGTTTTTTTTTTGGTCGGTGAAGAGGTTAGGATTGTGTTCACGAGAAAGAAAAAGAGAGAAATTGTTCTGCTTAAAACGGTTTAGTCACGCGAAGCTGTATTTTTTTTTTGTTCCTTCCGCTTTGAAATGGTGATTGTTTTGCTCATTTTGTTTGTTTCGAAAGCCCAGTGATTTTGTGTGGAAATCGATGGCGAATTTGTATCACGGAAACTCTGGCGAACGGTGGATGTAACAAATGAGCTAATAGTAAAAACGAGGTAATTGTTTCCTGATGATGGTTGTCTGATTTTCTGTTGTGATTCCCGTGTTTTTATTTAGTAGTTTTTTTTGCAGATTAATTTGAATTTGTGTTTGATCACTTTGGAATTGTTGTAGTGCGAAGAGGAATTGTGCTTGACCAATTGGAGCACATCAGTAAGTGTGGTGCGAATTCTTAGTGATTGTTTCGACTGGATTGAGTTTACATCCCCAAGACGGTAAAAGAAGGAATAATTGGTTAGGCTTCATGTCGGCAACTTAACAGCAAAGAAGAAGGTAAGTTTCTGTACTTTTCATCTCTCTTCAGCAAGCAAATGTCCTGGAAAAATACCAGAATGCCCACTTTCCTGAAAGTTTTAAAAACTACTACAGGTGAACTTTGTTCAACAAAATTCATGGAACCAAAAGATATTTGTTGTAGGCAGAATTTTGTTGCTGTGTAGCCATGATGAAAATTTGTCATGCAGACAAAATTGTTGTAAAGGGAGAACCGTTATATTCGCTTATCTGTGCATTGAAGCTCCACTCCAACTAATTAATAGATGTATAACCAGACAATAAAATCAACTCAGATCCTGATGAGAAAGATTTTGGTTCACCTTGAAGGTGCGCTGCTGTATATCACTTGGATTCAAAAGATTGAACCAGTTTGATGTAATGGAATAGATAAAAAGAATCAAATATTATTGATA